GAAGGAAGAAAGATTTCTCCAGGTTTCATATATCAGTCATGGCAATGTGACGACAGTGAAGGAAAAAAGATGTCTCCAATTTTCATATGTCAGTCATGGCAAGGTGACGACAGTGAAGGAAGAAAAATTTCTCCAGTTTTCATATGTCAGTCATGGCAAGGTGACGACAGTGAAGGTTACTGGTGCTCATTTATTTCATTGAAATATTTGTTGTAAATTACTACACCAAATATATTCCAAATCAACCAAATTATGTCTTGCTCCTTTGTCCGTAGTCATAAATAGAAAAAAAATTATCATAGTGATGGAAACTTATTATAAGCAAAGCTTGTAGAGGGAGCACCAAGTCATACTTCTGACACAGTCGGGGGAGGTCTATACAAACCTTGTTTCTTGTAAGTTCCCACCACTCTTTCAGAAGTATGACGGTGTCACTTATACAAACCTTCCTTCTTGTGCCTGCCCCAACTGTGTCAGAAGTATGACTCGGTGCCACCTATACAAACCTTCCTTCCTGTGCCTCCTCCAACTGTGTAAGAAGTACGACTCGGTGCCACCTATAGAAACCTTCCTTCCTGTACCTCCCCCGACTGTGTCAGAGGTATGACTAGGTGCCACCTATAGAAACCTTCGTTCTTGTGCCTCCCCAACTATGTAAGAAGTATGACTCGGTGCCACCTATACAAACCTTCCTTCTTGTGCCTCCCCAACTGTGTAAGAAGTATGACTCGGTGCCACCTATACAAACCTTCCTTCTTGTGCTTCCCCAACTGTGTCAGAAGTACGACTCGGTGCCACCTATACAAACCTTCCTTCTTGTGACCAATGATATTTAACACTAATGTATAGTGTATATATATATTTGTAGTTCACCAAGCAACATGTTATTGATACGTATACTACATTCATCAACAACTGGAAGTCTGCCAAGGATGCTCTCAAACTGACCACACAGGCAAAACCTGCTTTTCAAAAGTTTTTAGAGGTGAGATTTTCTGTTTATCGTTTGGTTCTGTTACGTTTTTAAAATTCCCCCTTCTCTCTACCTGTTCTAATGAAATAATTTCGTTATTTCACCAAGTAGTGTTAATAAACGCGTTCGTTATTTTAGAAGACATGCAAATAAAGTCAACTATCGCTGTATTAATGACGTTACATTAAGTAGGCTTAACAAAATGTTTATAAAACCTAGAACTTTCGCCGTCATCAATTTTAAAATTGAAATGTATAAAACTGGACTTGCATAAGTAATTAAGTTTGATAGCAAATTATAATTTTGCTTGGTTATCAAGTGGGTTACTATATCGCTAATGTCATCGATATGTCTTAGACCAAATGTTCATGTTTGTTTAACATTCTTATTAACGGTAATGCATTGATCATGTTTTAACATCATAGACGCAAAGAAGTAGAATTCCACATGTATATCTGTGTGTGTTTTGTGAACCTTTTTCATTTTACGCACTGAATGTTAAGAACGTAATCCACTGAAAACCTCATCCCACTTCAGCAATAATTCAAGTCAACCACTACGAATCGAACCCTGGATTTTAACGTTGTAACTTGTACACTTACCACTGACCCACTAATATTAATGTGGATGTATTTGAAGTGAAAGAAAGGTTCAATATTTGGTTATTTTCAACTGTACAGACCCGGCATGGCCAGATGGTTGGGACGCTTGACACGCAATCTGAGGGTCGCGGGTTCGAATCCCCGTCCCACCAAACATGCTCACCCTTTTAGCCGTGAGGATTTATAATGTGACGGCCAATCCCGCTATTCGTTGATAAAAGAGTAGCCCAAGAGTTGGCGTTGGGTGGTGATGATTAGCTGTCTTTCCTCTAGTCTTTCACTGCTAAATTAGGGACGGATAGCGCAGATAACCCTCGGGTGAGAAGAAAACAAAACCTTCCTTTCTAAACTGAAAACCCCTCCCCCCAGTGGCTTAGCGGTAAGTCAATAGGCTTGTGACACTAAAATTCAGGTTTCGATACCCATGGTTGGCAGAGCACAGATGCCCCATTGTGTAGATTTGCGCTTAATAACAACCAGTCAAAGAAACAAATTGAAGACGCCCCCAGTGACTCAGCGATAACAATCACACTTAAGACACTTAAACTTTGTGTGTGTGTGGAGGGGGACTGGTATTGAGAAATGTAATGAAAAGAAAAGTAAAAAATATATGATATTTGGTACTAAACTACGCTCAAAAAATTGTAATGATAGTTCCAAGTTCTATTGTCTAGTATGTAATGCTTACTTAAGAACATAAGCGATACTGTTCAACCCCACTAAGCCAGTATAATACTCTGTTTCATGAACAACAATTATATTTCATAACATGTTAAAAATAGCTACTTGTGAAAATATCTATATATAGATATATTCCAAATTTAAACGTACCAACTGAATGTTAAACGTTTCTTTGGCACAAAAAACGAGAAGAAAACAAAATAACCTATGGGATTCGAAACCTTATCTTTCACTTTTTTCACTCAAGTATAACTTAATTCCAGAGTAATAAAAACTACCGCTTAAGTTTACTTTAAGAGCGAATGTATTAGTTTACACGTACATACGAGGCCAGGCGTGGCTCGGTAGTTAGCGTGCTTGAAATGTGAATACGAATGTTCGTAGCTCGCGTTCCGTTGTTCCAAAAATGCGCTAAGCTCTGTAGGTCAGATCCCACTATTCGGTCAAACAAGAGCAGTCCAAAGTTGGCATTTGGTGCTATCTGACCAGCTACGTTTCTTCTGGTACAATGGTCCTCGTCCCACTGGTGGTGTGAGAAGCTAACACAGTCTTCTGGTACAATGGTCCTCGTCCCACTGGTGGTGTGAGAAGCTAACAAAGTCTTCTGGTACAATGGTTTTCAAAGTGTGGTCCTCGTCCCACTGGTGGTGTGAGAAGCTAACAAAGTCTTCTGGTACAATGGTTCTCAAAGTGTGGTCCTCGTCCCACTGGTGGTATGAGAAGCTAACAAAGAGATATGACTTTACAGTTTAGTCCTAGCTGAGGACAGTAAAATAAAAATTTCACTTTAAACTTTCCACCCTCAAAAATTTAACTTTCAGTTTTCGGTAGATGGAGTCAGTTACTTATAGTAAACAGCATGGGAAAATTACCCAACAAGATGGACAACCGAAGACCCCATGGTGAACCCTCTAAGCCTTATGGATTTACCAGTAACTATCAGACAAGAGGGAGTAGTAGGCGTTGTGATGATGTTATAATTTTAAGTAACAAGATAAACAACCCGTTGTTAGGGGATCGTATTGAGTGAAACAGGTTAGAGCCATCAAGGATAGTGACCGTAAAAACATTTTTGTAGTTTTGTTTTTATTTCCTGTTTGCAGCATACGTCTCGTGAGCACAAAGGAAAACTTACGTTAGACGCCTTACTGATTATGCCTGTTCAACGGATTCCCCGCTACGAGCTCCTGATCAAGGTAAGTGTATGGTAATCACCCGTGCCACAAAACGCCCTCTATATTTTCTAAGTACACAGTAGATCATTTTGTTCCGTTGATTAGTGCGAGACATAACTGTCGAAACGTTGTGGTTTGAAATTTAGTGATTGTTGTAGTGAAGAAACATAGCTTGACGTCTGATGCTTAGTCGGTTTAGTTTTTGCAAACAAAACTAGTCTTTTACCACGAGACAGTTATATAATCCTACTACACTTCTTTACAAACTATGTGATCACGAATATGAGGTTTTACTTCAAAATCATATTTAATACATTATGGAATTCGAAAATGTCACGTCACCTTTTCTTACTGGGTGTAACTGACACCCAGGAGTGGCATACATATAGGTGAAGTAGCTGGGGTAACTGTCCCAGGTGTCCACCTGACCTGACTCAAATTAGTCTCAACTCATGAAAGGTCAACTTGTGAGGTACACAAATTAGTCTCAACTAATAAAAGGTCAACTTGTGAGGTACATAAAATTAATGTTGTTTTTTTTGTCTGATGATACTTATTCTCAACTAGTATTGGGTTATTTGTAAGATATAAAAAATAACACTTTTAGGACCAGGATCTCACCTCATATACAGTAGTAACTCGTTAAAGGCCCATCTGTAAACAACTAAAGATACCGTAACCCCCCCTCGCCCAGTCCATGTAATATTACACGAAACAGTCGGAAACATTGTTTTATTTTACTTATGTTAAAACTTACTGCATTTCTTTATTTACGAAACACTAGTAGGAGTTAGACCTCCCTCCTCCCCCGCATAAAAATAATTGGGCCCCCTATATTTATTTCCCTATAATTTTAGTTACGATTCGGGCCTTCTTTCGGCTCGGGCCTCCGTAAAATTGTGGGGGCATACTTACGGCACTGCTCCTGGGCCTTTAAATAGACCACGGAGGACGATTATACATAGAATTATTAGTTTTTTACTCACTAAATATTTCTATCATTTAGTTTAGTAAATTAATGATGAAAACAAAATCAAATACTAGGTTAAGAAAATACATAATCCATATTTAAATAACATATACATATATAGATATATTGCTTTAGTCAGACACGGTAATAAAATCTGTTGTTGTTGTCAGATGATAAAAACATTGGAGAAAGATGTTTTAGCTTTATACAAGTACTTTATTTTCGTTGAGTTGAACCTCCTTCCACTTCCTCACTGACAAAATTGTATCCATAACAACAAAGCGTAATACGTTCAAACAACAAAGCGTAATACGTAAGTTATCAAATTTCAGCATATGTATATTTGCTCATATGAATTTAAATATAACGTTATACAATACATATGGAAGAATGTAATATCTGCTTTAAACCAATCAACAGGAACTGTTGAAGCACACCCCTGTTGACCATCCTGACCACCAGTCACTTGTCCTGGCTCAAAAAGAGGTCCACGAGCTAGCAGTGAAGATCAATAAGATGGAACGTCAAGCCTTCCAGTACGAGCAGTTGCAACAGAGAGTCAAAGATATTGAAAATTTAATAGATGGCGCTGTTGACGTGAGTAAAACGCATATACATTGAACATTAGGTTATTCCTGAATCACGAATAACACTCAGATACAGCAAAAAAAAAAGAAGTTTTTATTTAATTGACCAACCTAAAACTTCCATTAATAATTAAACTTGGATTATTTGAAAATTGCGTATTCTATTGTAACCTAAGTTACAGTCGACAATTAACGAGCGTTTCTTGAATCACGTAACACGTAATTGTGTTAATGTGTTTGATTTAATTCGTTTCGACAATAGCTGTATTTCCTCTGGTAAACATAATTAGTATGTTTTTGTCAGAATCTCGTTAACTTTTGGTTATAAATTTGCTTATTTAACTAGATGTCCCCCGGTGGGACAGCGGTAAGCTTACGGACTTACAACGTAAAAATCCAGGGTTCGATTCCTTCGCGGTGGACACAGCAGATATCCAAATTTGGCTTTTCTCTAAAATAACCAAATAATATAGATATGTAAAAATGAACCAAGTCATAATTTTGCGGCCCGACATGGCCAAGTGGTTAGGGGGCGCTCGACTCGCAATCTGAGGGTCGCGGGTTCGAATCCACGTCCCACCAAATATGCTCTCCCTTTCAGCCGTGGGGGCGATATAATGTGACGGTCAATCCCAGTATTCGTTGGTAAAAGAGTAGCCCAAGAGTTGGCGGTGGGTGGTGATGACTAGCTGCCTTTCCTCTAGTAGTGCACTGCTCAATTAGGGACAGCTAGTGCAGATAGCCCTCGTGTAGCTTTGCGCGAAATAAATAAAAACAAACATAATTTTGCTTAAATACAATTTTGTGGTCTTCCTCAATTAATTCAGTAAAGCAGTGACGAACATTGTTTTTTGACGTGGACCAATCACAGATACAGTTGTGCCAAAACGCACCGGAATGCAGTTCCCATACCTTTTTTTTGAACGTGTCACCATGAGAACTCGCAAACGACACCGTATTTTACAGTTAGTCAAGTATTACTGTTGCCCATTGACGATTGTATTTCAATATCAGTATATAAACAAAGTAAGCTTTTAGTGTATTATTCGCAAACGAAATATCCTAAACATAAAGAAGTCGGTGGGAGGGAATGCTTTATCCTAAACATATAGAAGTCGGTGGGAGGGAATGCCTTCGAGTACTCCCACAAAGCATCATGTTTTTAATGTTGTAAATGGAAGTAAATTTAGCATTCAATCGCTTTGAGCACATCGCATTTAAAAAATTATGAGAAGAATTATGACCCTGTGACGAACTACAAATATATATATATACATTAGTGATAAATATCATTGGTGAACTACAAATATATATATATACTATACATT